CAAAATGACTAACCTCTTTGTTTCTTGGGAAAGGGTGTCTTGATCCTCTCAGAAAATGAAGATTTATAGGAGATAATGAATTCCCTTTTATGTAAAGTCATTCAGTATAGGCTGAGTTATGGTGATGATGATGATGATAATAATAATAATAATAATAATAATACTAACTAGCATTTACATATTGCTTTAGTGTTGGCAAATGACTATAAATATTATCTCTTGATAATTATCCACTTATTATTATCTCTTGATAATTATGTCTTGTGCTAGTGAAGGAAGTGCTATTATTATCCTGATTTTACAGATAAGTGAATTGAGGCTAAGAAAGGATGTTATTTGTCCAATTTCTCATAGCTAGTAATAATAAGTGTCTGAGGCCAGATTTGAACTCACGTCATCCTGACTTTTGGGTTCAGTGCTCTGTCCTCTGTATCACCTAGGTATCTCTCTGACAACTTGAAACGTATAGCAGAGGGTATTATTGTTTAGGCATTGGTTGAACTAATTGACTTCTTGGGTCCTTTCTGGATCTGAGATCTTATATATTATATCTGGACTAAAGATTTCCAGAACATACATACTCAAATATAATTTAATTAGATAGTCATCCAACTACATATTATTGACTGGCCAGTAGGTATTTTCATCCATGTGATTTTTCCTTTTTTTGTTGATGATCCGTTACCTTTTGACTAATTATTTCTCTGGGGTAACCCTGTAATATTCTGTGACTTGAGGAAGTCACCACATCATATAAACAAAGGTCCATCTGCAGTGGAGGCCTCTTCTACTTGGCTCTTGTGCAAAATACCCTCTATTACAGTTGTGAAATGAAAATATTTGCCTAGTCCATTACTTGTTGTTTTATGCCTGGCTTCATGTTAATAATTAAAAGGTGGTTGAGTAAAATATTTTCTGAGGTTACATTTTTCAAGCGAACTCATTAATTGTGGCCTTTTCATGATGTAATATTCACTGTGCCCTCAGTTCATATGAGTTCAGGTTGCCCTTGACTATCTCCTTTTTCCATTTTCCCCTAGGCAATTCTCTGAATCCTGGCCCCTTTGCCTAAATTATCTCACCTGTTTCCTCTAGTTTACTTGGAGGAGAGTTGAGACCTCTTGGCCCAGAAGTAGGCCTTCTCTCATCACTCCCCAGACCTGAAGTCATATCCCAAGGTCTACAGTAGCTCCTAAATTGGCAGAGTGTTTGTTGGTTATTAAAACCACCCTTTGGGCTCTTTCCCTTTCCCAAAGGATAGACCCTAGGGAGTGTTCAGGAGTTTTGATGCTAAAGCCATTCAGTGTATTCTACAACATTATAAAATCTTTCTCCTCATACCTATTCAGAGGTCAGCAGAGTGATGTCAAGACAGATACAAGATTTCCTTCTGATATCAGTCTTGGTGAGTCAAAATATGGAACCCTGTTTTATTTTTTCTAACCTTAGCAGTTTTATCTTTTTTCTTTAATAATTATTGATTTTTGATCTTACCTTACTTTCATTTCTAAATGCTCTCCTGCTACCCAGGGAATGATCCATTTTAAGAGAGATAAAAGAAAGAAGGAAAAAGAAAAGTTCAGTAAAACTAATTAATGTATTGATTGTGATAGTATATGCAATGTTTCATATCCATAGACCCCCAACTCTGCAAAGAAGGACGAGTGCTGTTTTCTCATCTCTTTAACCTGAACATAGTTCTGTAACTATTTCTATGTCGCCAGTGGGAGGGGTATAGTGCATGTCATGGAAGGATGGAAAATTTGGAGAGGAAAGAGATCCAGACTGAGGAGTGAACAGTGTAAGGAAGAAAGGAAGGTTTCCTTCAGGCAGCAGATGGAAAGGGGCCAGACGTTTGCCTGAATATTGAATAAAAAGAATTGATCCATTACATTACATTTGTTTTTATTTAAATGATTTATAGTGAAAAAAAATTGTAGGAAGAGGTGAACATGTTTATCTTCTGTGAACCCAGAAGAGAAAACCCAAAAGAGAAAAGGGGGACACTACAGAAAGGCAGATTAAAAAAAAATCTCAGCATAGAGAAAAAAATTATGAATAAAATTCTGCCTTTATGACTCAGTGACTAGTTAGGATGCTGTAGAGGGAATTCCAATACAATATGTGGTTTCATACATGGATTGTGAGCTGGAAGAGACCTTAGAAACTCACTGAGTTCAATCCTCAAATTTTCTATATGCAAAACTTGCCTCAGAAAGAGAAAATTACTTGTGGAAGATCACACAGGTAGTAAGAAGCGGAGTCAAAATTTGAACACAGGTATTCTACCTCTAAATCCAGAAGCCATTCTTTTACATCATTCTGTTTCACCTAGAATAGAATATTGGATCAAATGTTAAGTTCTCTTATAGCTCTATTTTTTATTGTTTTTTATTTTTAATTTTCCAAAGAAGGAACTTAAACATTCTTTTCCATTGTCGGTAACTAAAATTGTGACAGAATAAAGTGAATCTGCAGTCAAATGTCTCAGAGAAATATCTTTTCTCTGACATTGAGAAACTATTCACAATTCTTTGCTCAATGATTTATGCTTATTTCCTCTACCTCTTCTCCTCTATTTCTTTGTGTCTCTGACTTTCTTGGTATCTCTAGGGCACCTCTGAGAGGTGGGGTTGTCTAACTAATAATATTGGGTCAAGCCCCCATTTCAGTGGACTCTCTGTATTACTAAACCCTAGTGATAAGTGATCCAGTTTCATTTATCCAATTAAAACAAATTAAAATGATTAGATTTTAGAAAGTGACATTTGCCAAGAAAATTTAGCAAAAGCCAAAGATGAAATATAGTTTCTACATGATGTTTATCTCTCCAAGTTAAATTTCCAAATGCAGTATGGTTATTGGATGGGTGAATATGCATTTCTGCTCATGCTAGACTAGATCAAGTAGAGTGACAATAGATCTTTATTCTTCACTGTCTGGCTTCTGGTAGATCCTGGAATGGACTCCAATTCCTGAATTTCTGGTTGGCTCATTTTCCTAACCTTGTGAAATTCACAAGGATATCACAATTCCTAATCTTTTCTACCTGAAAAGATGAAAAAAATAGAGACACAACAGACATAAGTAACAGTATGGTCATGACATTTGAACTTCATACTAGCACTATATCAATATCAATACTTCTTAAACTAATATTTTTGACCATTTCAAGTCATTTGAAATTATTTTCTTCCTCCTGTAGGTACAGTATGAATTCAATAATTTATTTATTTATTTTTTAAATGTGATGCCCAGGATTGAGCACAATATTCAAGATTTGAGCTGGTACACTATGAGTGCAACTTGTCTCATTAACTTCTCTAGGCTTCTGTGTGCAGGCTTTGATCATTCCTATATGGAGGATAGAGACTAGGGGGAGCAGAATTTCCCAATCACCTGCTGGACAGGTGATTTTACTGAGGTTTCCAAATTTACAAGCCTTTCTGACTTTTGATTTTGGAAGAGACTTATTGGAAAAAGGATTAAGCCATAGAAGATGCTATTGTATTTGTTAGCTTGTTTTTGCCACATGTTAATGGCTAGTGTGTTTAGGACATTATAGAATTGTAACCTCATGTGAGGTGCTCTTTTCTTACTCACCTGTGCAGGTTTGGATAATTAAATAATGACATATTTGGGAGGATAATTAGCACACTGAATGATTGTCATGTTCCAAACAGAATTCAAAATGAGAAAAGGATGAAATAAATCTAATATGATAAAATTAAATATTTATAAGTGTAAAATTTTCATGTTAATGCTAAAAGAGATTTGTTGCCCACAACCAGATTGTACACCGAACAGAGAGGCGTGAAATAACTTATGACATGAGCCAGGCAGAGTAGAATTACTGACTCAGTTTATTCATCTGAAGGTACAGGATATATAGAGAAAATCTAGCCTAACTTCGAAGAATCCTCCCCATGAGATACTCCCCAAAACATCTGCTGAGGATGTGACAACATGAATTTCCTTGTTATCAGGGTTCCTAGATTGGGTTGTATTTTCCAAGGTTTTCCCAGGTGCCTTGGCGCCACCTGCATAGAGGAGTGAATGTGTAAATCTAAGGTTCAAAGAGTGAGAAGGAATGTCTCAGGGACCTCCTAATCAGGAAGGGATTGAAGAGCCGTACCACTTAATCATCGAGCCCTTATGGGTAAAAGCCTGGGCAGAGGTCAAACTCTGCCTTGGATCTTAAACCCTTATCAGACTCTTAAGATTGGCCCTCAACAGAGATTCTACAACTAAAGGTAAGGGGGAATTAGACTAGACAATTGTACCAATTTTAAAAAGAAAAAGGTACCTTTTTTTTTCTAGTGCAATACAAGCTCACTATAAGTCAATGTCATTGAATAGACACCAGAACTAATATTCAGCTTTAAACTGATTTAATGGAAATATGAGGGAGGTGATAGTGTAGCTGTATTATGTTCTGGTGAAGTACAATTTGTAATATTGTGTTCAATTTTAGGTGTCAAATGTAAGAATGCACATTGTCATTGTGTTGACATGGATACATTGGAGCACTTTCAAGTGACAAGAATTAAAGACTTTCCAAGGTAGGGGGAAGAAACAGAATATTTAGATTGGAGGGAAAAAATAAGAGACTTGGGGACAACATGATAACTGTCTTCAACTATTGGATGCCTGTCCTACATAAGAAGAATTTCTAAATGGGCAAAACTAGGCAGAATTGGTAGGTATTCAAGATTTGAATAATTTAGATCAATGTAAATATCAACTTCCTAAGAATCAGGCTTATCTGAAAGGGGAATGGCCTGCCTTGGGAGTCAGTGAGTTCTAGTTCATTTGAGGACTTTACTTGAATGCTACATGACTACTTGTTAAATAAGTCATAAGCAGATTTCTGTTTGGGCAAGTGTTTAAAGAGATCCTAATTTCTGAAGGCATGTCAGATTCTGTTTTTTTTTTTAAATTATTCTAGAAGTATTAAAAAAAACTTTCCTATATTTATCTAGGAATGCAGAAGGATGAAATGATAACATTTGAATCCTTTCCAGTGATTGAAAGTCATCTTCAATGACCATAGCCACTTGCAGCTACAAAAAGGATGCCCCATTCCAATGATACTCAGTTCCATCCCCCCTTTTTCATATTACTAGGAATTCCAGGAATGGAAAATTTCCACATCTGGATTGGCTTCCCTTTTTGTATTGTGTACCTTATTGCCCTCTTGGGAAATATCACCATATTGTTTGTGATCCAGACTGAGAAGACACTTCACCAGCCCATGTTCTACTTTCTGGTCATGTTGGCCACCATTGATCAAGGCCTATCAACAGCTACTATTCCCAAGATGTTGGGCATATTTTGGTTTAGACTGAGGGAGGTCAGCTTTGGTACCTGTCTTGTCCAGATGTTCTTTATACATATCTTCACTGTGATGGAATCAGCTGTACTGTCATCGATGGCCTATGATCGCTATGTGGCAATCTGCAATCCTTTGCATTACAGCACTGTCCTCACCAACAGGGTGGTGGCCTTCATGGGAATTGTGGTGGTGGTGAGGTCTTTCTTCACAGTGATTCCCTTTGTGTTCCTGATCCTTCGACTTCCTTTCTGTGGAAATCATGTCATTCCTCATACTTATTGTGAACATATGGGCATTGCTCGATTGGCTTGTGCAAGCATCAGAGTCAACATGGTCTATGGTCTATGTGCTATTGGGACTCTAATGTTGGACATTGTAGCTATAGCTCTATCCTATGTACAGATTCTCCAAGCTGTCTTTCACCTCCCTTCCCAGGATGCCAGGCTAAAGGCCCTGAGTACCTGTGGCTCCCACGTTTGTGTCATCTTGGCCTTTTATACTCCAGCCTTATTTTCTTTCATGACACACCGCTTTGGCAAGAATGTCCCTCGTTACATCCATATACTTCTGGCTAATCTCTATGTTGTTGTCCCACCCATGCTTAACCCTGTCATCTATGGAGTTAGGACCAAGCAGATCCGGGAAAAGGTGTTAAAGATATTACTCACAAAATAAATCAGAATTGGAACTCCAACATTAATTTGCACTTTCCAGGGATCATTAGGGGAATATTCACAGGCTAAACATAGTGATCATACCAGAAGATGCCTCTTAATAAGAATAATAACACCACTCTTCTCCTGACATCCTTTTTTAAAATCCTATAGTGATGCCATTTTATAAGGGGCTAATTACCACATTGGCCTGGACATCTGGACACCATTGTAATCAACTCTAATTCTTTAAGACTGATTCTTCTGAGCTGACTGTCCACATTGTGAACCCTGAAATATGGTCTAATGCCCCAGCAGGGAAAGTATTGGTGGCCTTTTGGATGAAATTGTGAATTCAGAATAGATAATTCCTTACACTCACTTGTGAGTAGTTTTGAAAAAGCCTTATTTTACTTTCTCTCAGTTACTGGTAATGAGTCCCTCCAACGTCAAAACCCATGACCCAGTTTCACTCTGATTTCTAAATTTCTTTCATGCCTTCTTTGATTGCTTCCCATTATATTCTTTTACCTATTATCTTTTAGTTCAACTAAAAAAAATAAACACTTCCCTAATATGTACAATTTTGTAGACCACTTTTGTATTTCTGATCCTCTTGTATATTCAAACATTTAGATCCTAATAGCATCAATTTTTATCTTCCTCCATTATTAAAAATTTCTTTATCAATGAGTAATTTGCAGTCCTCGATATCCTTTCCATTAGCACTTTACTTCTAAGGAATAGTGAAGAGCTGGAAGTTCCAAGTCAGCTTCTGGGATATTCTCCCAGTAAACATGTGGAGTACATGACTAAAGAATAAATTGAGAAGGGAAGATAAGCATTTATATAGTGCCTACTATATGCCAGGCCCAGTGTTGAGTGCTTTACCAGTAAAATCTTAATTGATTCTTATAACAAACCTGTGGAATAGGTGCTGTTATCAATTTTACAGCTGAAGAAACTGAGGCAAATAAAGGTTAAGTGACTTGGCCAGGGTCACACAGCTAACAAGGTCTGGGGTTAGATTTAAACTCATGTCTCCATACCTCCGGTCCTAGAACTCTATTCGCTTTGCCACCTACCTGCCTATATGAAAAGAAACAACAGACTGTCGTGTTTTTTAAAGCATTAAAAACAGGTCAGGGACCCTATAAAAGGATACTAGACAGCATATGAGACCATAAAGTCATGAATACCAACTAAAGAGAGGTTGAAACTGAGATAGTCTTCCTTTAGAGAAGAAGCTAGGGGTTTCTGAATAGATAGGAAGTCCAAGAAGAAAAGTGTGGAAGAGGAAGAAGGTGAAAAAAAAAGTAAGTATTGGGTGACTGGGAAGAACAGTGTGGATAATAAAGGATATCAGTTTAGGGGATAAGAAAACTTAGTAGAGTCATTATATAGCACTGTATAGGCAGAGGAGATGTTTCTGTGTAGATGAGAAGCCTTTCATGGAACTAAATAGAAATGATTCTTGGACTGTGCCTCCAGCAGAATAGAAAGCTTCTCTATTGAACAGGTCCATGAAGTCCAAATCATGGAATCATAGAACCTCAGAGTTAAAAGATATCTCAGAGGCCTTTATTATAGCTTTAATTACATCTAGACAAAATCCTAGTCATTTAAACTCCACTTAAAGATGTCCAGAGAAGGGGACCCCATTCTTCCTCCTCTATATCATGTAGATAGTTATAATTGTTGAGAGTTGTAATTATTTCTTCACATTGACCTGAAGTATTATTCTCTGCCACTTCTATCCATGGCTTCTAGCTGTGTCGTTGGGATCATGAGACCACTGGATCCTAAATTTAATGCATAAAGTAACCTTAGAGGTCATAAATTCAAATCACTTCATTTCAGAGATGAGATAAATGAGGGTCAGGAATGTTAAGTTTGACTAGAGTCACACAGCAAGTAATTATTTACACCAGGATTCAAACTGAGATCTTCCTAACTCCACATCTAATCCTCTATCCAGTACACCATGATAAAAAACAAGACAAATTACTCTTCTAAATGACAGACTTACAAAGAGTTGAAGACACTTATCATACCCCACCTCCCTCAAATCTTCTCTTCTCCAAGTTAAAAATGTTCAATTCTTTCAAATGATCTTCATGTGACAACATTTCCAGTCGCTTCTTTCTCATAACTCTAATATGGAAATACATCCCTGAACTTAAGGAACTCAAAATCCTTCAGAGAGATAATATGCAAACAACTATATACTAACAATCTATATATATGAATAAATGGAAATAATCAACAAAGGGTAGACAATGGAATTAAGAGGAATCAGGAAAAGTTTTCTTTGGAAGATGCAATTTTAGTTTAGACTTGAAGGAAGCTAAGGAATGAAGGAGGTAGAGATGAGGAGGAAGAGCATTCCATGCATGGCTGACAGTCAGAAAAATATTCTGGAGTTAGGAGTAGAAGATAATAATACTGATGGGAAGGCAAGGGGAAGGAAATGGTTATGAATGACTTTGAACACCCAATAGAGGATTTTGTGTTTGATCCTAGAAGCAATAATGAGCCACAGGAGCTTATTGAGAAGAGGAGTGACAAGTTCTGACCTGATCTTTAAGAAGATCACCTTGATAGCTGAGTGGATGGACTGGAGTGGGGAGAGACTTGTGGCATCAGCAGATTATTAAAATAGTCCTAGGTGAGGTGATGAGGGACTTTATCAGGATGGTGACAATGTGAGAGAAGAAACGGAGACGTGTGAGAGATGTGTTACAAAAATAAAATCAATAGGTCAGGGAAACATATTTGCTGTGGGGTGATGAAAGTTAGTGAGGTTTTGAGGATTATACCAGGTGGAGAGCTTAGATGACTAGGACAGCGATATTTCCTTCACCAGAAATAGGGAAGTTAGGAAGAGTATAGAGATTTGGAGAAAAGATAAAGGGTTCAGTTTTGAGCAAGTTGAATTTAAGGTATCTAAAGATCATCAAGTTCAAGATGTCCAATAGGCAACTTGAGATGTGAGACTAGAGGTCAGCAGAGAGCTTAGGACTGGGTATGTGTATATGACAATCATCACTATAGAGAAGATAACTGAATGCACGGATGCTGATGAGATCACCGAAGTAATAATAGTACAGAAAGAGAAGTGGACCTAGGGCAGAGGCCTGCAAGAAATGCAGTGTTAGTGTCTGTGACTGCAATTAAGGTCTATCAAAGAAAACTGAGAAAGAACAGTCACATAGATAGACGGAGACCTAGGAGAGAATACATTCATGAAAACCCAGAGAGAAAAGGATGATTGAAAGTGTCAAAAATTGCTGAGAGGTAACAAGTATGAAAATTGAGAAAAGACTGTTGTATTGGACAATTAAGAGAACTTCAGTAACGTTGGAGAGAGCAGTTTCTAGACACTTGAAGTTCAAAAAGGATTAAGTATTCATACTTCATATTTCATCACTTTTTTTCTATAACTTTGTTATAAAAGTCCCTTAAAATTCCAAAGAGTTTTCAAGTAAAAAAGGGAAATAATTAAAACATGTGTGTCTACCTATCATGATCAAATGTATTAAATAATACATAACTTTAACTATTTCTTACTCTTATTGTAAATGAGAGGAAATGTTCCTACATTTTTATTGAGTCATTTCTTTGCCCATATTAATCTTTTCCCCTTGGAGTATCAATATAATCCCTCAGATGTAAAACAAACAATATTTATAGAGTAACATGACCTTTTATCTTATCTTTTGCATGTAGGTTCCACTATTTTACAGGACCACAAATGTATGCTCTATTTACAAAAAAAATAAAGACCCAAAAATAAACAAACAAAAAACCCCAAAAACCTGTTTACTGCAAATGAACAAGAAAAAAGTATCCAAAATATGTTTTTAAGTAATTATAAGAAAATATATTCAATTATTTGTCTTCTCTCTGCAAATGAGCTTTAAATACAAATAATTTTAATCAGATAGTATAATTTTACTTAGAAATAAAAATTTTCATCCTACTGTCTTTGTTATCATTTCCTTTCATATAAAATTAATTGCATTGCATCAATTGACTGCTTTATCCTTCATGTTATCCTTAAATTCTGTTCCTTCTATTAACTATGATGCCATGTTTCCATTATGCTTTCACATCGTTCTACCCATATGTATCAACCATTTGAACTCCAATGGAATCTGTTCCTTCTGGATGGCCCTCCTCCTGACTATGCAGGGGTCCCATTTCCTGCCCACTATATCCCACACTAGTGATCACCCTACTTTTTGTTGTTGTTATTGTTGCTCAGTCATTTTGAATCATGTCCGACTCTTCATGACCCTATTTGAGGTTTTCTTGGCAAAGATACTGGAATGGTTTCTCATTGCCTTCTCCAGCTCATCTTACAGGTGAGGAATTGAGGCAAACAGGCTTAAATGACCAGCCCATCATCCCACAACTACTAAGTATTTGAGGGCAGATATGAACTCATAAAGATGAATCTTCTGATTCTAAGCCCAGTGCTCCATCCACTGCCCCAGCTAGCTGTCTCCCACCATAACTTTACCCATTAACATTGTTACCCAACCAGTACAGGCCTGTAACTCTGCTTTACGTGTTAGGACATATTATCTATCTGAGGCCTGGGTTGGGACATAGTTTGACTATTCCAGCCCCAATTTGTGATCCTCTATAGTTTAAGTCCTAGGCCTGGAATACTTAGATTCAAGACCAGCTACTTCCCATAGCCCCTCTCCTACCTGATGAACCACATGGGAAAACAAAGGGCTCATTCAGGCTCAACCAATGTCAATAGTCACTCCTCCCATATACACTTTAGAGTCCCTTGGTCCCCAATCTATTCAACAATCTGCCTTGGTAATCAAGGGATTAACCTAGAGCAACATTTGCTCTGTGCCCCAGGGCCTCTCCCTAAACACCAATTTTAGAAAGGCCGCATAAGGAGGCTATCCTCAGAGGTATGTAGCTTTAGAATAAAGCCTCTCTCCTTAAGGCTTTGTCAACTAGGGTGCGTACTGCAGCCAAGAGAGGCACAGGAGCCCCTTTGCTACAGGGCCTGGTGAGTCAGTCCTTTGCTCAATTCCAGGGCTCTGAACCACCAGATATTTAATCACAGCTAAGAGATAGAAGAGACAAGGAAAGGTGTGGGGAGCTAAAGGCATAAATTAGGCAGGGTACAAAGGATTTTATTCGGAAATTCTTGAGTATCATAGTTTGAGACAATACACACAGATGTAACCAATATGATTTAAAGAGGCAGAGAACTAAACTCATTATTCAGTCATTCTATACAGAACAGTTTTCTTACATCCTCCAGAATAAGGAAAGCATACACTGCTTCTTTTGTTTGCTTATTTCAGAGTACCTACTAAGTCACTGCCATTGCATTTTGTGATTCTCTCATTTGCATTTGCCACTCCCTGGACAGGGGTCCTCCTCCTTCTATGTTTCTTCTAATGTCCTTGTCCATCATATTCAATATCTTTTCCTCTTCCACTTTTTGTATGTCAAATGTCATGTTATAATGAATAAACTCTTAACTTTCTCAAATCATTTTTTTCTACTGTGATCTCCTATG